TCCAGACGCGTGGCGGTGTTCACTCTAGACGCGTGGCGGTGTTCACTAGGCACGTGGTGCTCTAGGCGCGTGATGGTGTTCACTCTAGACGCGTGGCGGTGTTCACTAGGCACGTGGTGCTCTAGGCGCGTGGCGGTGTTCACTCTAGATGCGTGGCGGTGTTCACTCTAGACGCGTGGCGGTGTTCACTCTAGACGCGTGGCAGTGTTCACTCTAGACACGTGGTGTTCACTTTAGGCGCGTGGCAGTGTTCACTCTAGACGCGTGGCGGTGGTCACTCTAGACGCGTGGCGTGTTCACTATAGACGCGTGGCGGTGTTCATTCTAGAAGCGTGGTGGTGTTTACTCTAAAAGCGTGGCGGTATTCACTCTAGATGCGTGGCGGTGCTCACTCTGGACGCGTGGCGGTGTTCACTCTGGACGCGTGGCGTGTTCACTCTAGACGCTTTGCGGTGTTCACTCTAGACACGTGGCGGTGTTCATTCTCGGCGCGTGGTGGTGTTCACTAGGCACGTGGTGCTCTAGGTGCTTGGCGGTGTTCACTCTAGGCGCGTGGTGGTGTTCACTAGGCACGTGGTGGTGTTCACTCTGGACGCGTGGCGGTGTTCACTCTAGACACGTAGCGGTGTTCACTCTCGGCGCGTGGTGGTGTTCACTAAGCACATGGTGCTGTAGGTGCTTGGCGGTGTTCACTCTAGGCACGTGGTGGTGTTCACTCTAGGCACGTGGTGTTGTTCACTTGGCACGTGGTGGTGTTCTACGCGCGTGGTGGTGTTCACTCTAGGCGCTTGGTGGTGTTCACTCTAGGCGCGTGGTGGTGATCACTCTAGACGCGTGGTGGTGTTCACTCTGGACGCGTGGCGGTGCTCACTCTGGACGCGTGGCGTGTTCACTCTAGACGCGTGGCGTGTTCACTATCGACGCGTGGCGGTGTTCACTCTGGACGCGTGGCGGTGCTCACTCTGGATGCATGGCGTGTTCACTCTAGACGCGTGGCGGTGTTCAATCTAGACGCGTGGCGGTGTTCACTCTAGGTGCGTGGCGGTGTTCACTAGGCACGTGGTGTTCTAGGCGTGTGGCGGTGTTCACTCTAGATGCGTGGCGGTGTTCACGCTAGACGCGTTGCGGTGTTCACTCTAGACGCGTGGCGGTGTTCACTTTAGGCGCTTGGCGGTGTTCACTCTAGACGCGTGGCGGTGGTCACTCTGGACGCGTGGCGGTGTTCACTCTAGGCGCGTGGCGGTGTTCACTCTAGACGCGTGGCGGTGTTCACTCTAGACGCGTGGCGGTGTTCACTCTAGACGCGTGGCGTGTTCACTATAGACGTGTGACGGTGTTCACTCTAGAAGTGTGGCGGTGCTCACTCTGGACACGTGGCGGTGCTCACTCTGGACGTGTGGCGGTGTTCACTCTGGACGCGTGGCGGTGTTCACTCTGGACGCTTGGTGGTGTTCAGTCTAGGTGCTTTGCGGTGTTCACTAGGCACGTGGTGCTCTAGGTGCTTGGCTGTGTTCACTCTAGGCGCTTGGCGGTGTTGACTAGGCATGTGGTGCTCTAGGCGCGTGGCGGTGTTCACTCCAGACGCGTGGCGGTGTTCACTCTAGACGCGTGGCGGTGTTCACTAGGCACGTGGTGCTCTAGGCGCGTGATGGTGTTCACTCTAGACGCGTGGCGGTGTTCACTAGGCACGTGGTGCTCTAGGCGCGTGGCGGTGTTCACTCTAGATGCGTGGCGGTGTTCACTCTAGACGCGTGGCGGTGTTCACTCTAGACGCGTGGCAGTGTTCACTCTAGACACGTGGTGTTCACTTTAGGCGCGTGGCAGTGTTCACTCTAGACGCGTGGCGGTGGTCACTCTACACGCGTGGCGTGTTCACTATAGACGCGTGGCGGTGTTCATTCTAGAAGCGTGGTGGTGTTTACTCTAAAAGCGTGGCGGTATTCACTCTAGACGCGTGACGGTGCTCACTCTGGACACGTGGCGGTGTTCACTCTGGACGCGTGGCGTGTTCACTCTAGACGCTTTGCGGTGTTCACTCTAGACACGTGGCGGTGTTCATTCTCGGCGCGTGGTGGTGTTCACTAGGCACGTGGTGCTCTAGGTGCTTGGCGGTGTTCACTCTAGGCGCGTGGTGGTGTTCACTAGGCACGTGGTGGTGTTCACTCTGGACGCGTGGCGGTGTTCACTCTAGACACGTAGCGGTGTTCACTCTCGGCGCGTGGTGGTGTTCACTAAGCACATGGTGCTGTAGGTGCTTGGCGGTGTTCACTCTAGGCACGTGGTGGTGTTCACTCTAGGCACGTGGTGTTGTTCACTTGGCACGTGGTGGTGTTCTACGCGCGTGGTGGTGTTCACTCTAGGCGCTTGGTGGTGTTCACTCTAGGCGCGTGGTGGTGATCACTCTAGACGTGTGGTGGTGTTCACTCTGGACGCGTGGAGGTGCTCACTCTGGACGCGTGGCGGTGTATATTCTGGACGCGTGGCGGTGTTCACTCTGGACACGTGGCGGTGTTCACTCTAGACGCTTGGCGGTGTTCACTCTGCACGCGTGGAGGTGTTCACTCTGGACGCGTGGCGGTGTTCACTCTAGACACGTAGCGGTGTTCACTCTCGGCGCGTGGTGGTGTTCACTAAGCACATGGTGCTGTAGGTGCTTGGCGGTGTTCACTCTAGGCACGTGGTGGTGTTCACTCTAGGCACGTGGTGTTGTTCACTTGGCACGTGGTGGTGTTCTACGCGCGTGGTGGTGTTCACTCTAGGCGCTTGGTGGTGTTCACTCTAGGCGCGTGGTGGTGATCACTCTAGACGTGTGGTGGTGTTCACTCTGGACGCGTGGAGGTGCTCACTCTGGACGCGTGGCGGTGTATATTCTGGACGCGTGGCGGTGTTCACTCTGGACACGTGGCGGTGTTCACTCTAGACGCTTGGCGGTGTTCACTCTGCACGCGTGGAGGTGTTCACTCTGGACGCGTGGCGGTGTTCACTCTGGACGCGTGGAGGTGCGGGATCCGGAGGGAAATCCACGCGACTACGGGGAGAGAGAGAGACACGCAAACTCGGCTGTGTTGATTTTTTTGGTGGAGTGAGGAAGCATTAATACTGAGCAGGTGAAGGTGGCCAGGCGTGTGTCTGGTCACACCACCACCTGTCAACCATGCCAGTGTGTGACAGTGGCGGAGCCAGTAGGGGTGGGGTGGCACGTGCCCCCCTAACGATCCGATCGAAATCCCTCATTTCAAATCGGATCATTGGGGTTTATTAGTAACTTGCTTCACTACCCGGCTTCGCCCGGGACTTGGATTCTTGTCTTGGATTAATTTCATATTCCCTTATATTTCATTGAAAAACCCTGGAAAAAAATGTATGCTTGCAAGAAAGTAAAAAGCCGAAACAAATCACTTAAAATCGGATGTTTTCACTCAAGGAAATTCAACCTTAACCCACTTCTATGTAAGGTCGATTTTGGCCACTCGGGAAGGGAATGACATTGCGAGCTGAAAAAAGTAGCGTTCACTTCGAAATTCCAGACAACATAAGCTTTGAAAATGTATTGACGCCAGAGTTCAGCGTTGGAGAGTTTTTGCTGCTTCACGCAAACAAACATGTATTTACTGTTTTTCGATTTAAAGCTTTCGTGACTGCAGGGATTCATCTTCTTGGTTCTTTCGGTAAAGTCACGTAGTAGGGAAGTAATAAAATAAAAAATAAATTTTTTTTATTAAAATAATTTTATTTTATTACTTCCCTACTACGTGACTTTACCGAAAGAACCAATAAGATGTATTTACTGCTTTATATTTAGGATAGCCGTTGTACCCTTTCTTCGCACGGATATGTATTGAAACTCCGAGAAGCCAATGGATTCATCGGCCAGTAGCGAAGCGCCACCTAGAATCTCCCGCCAAGCTGTTAACAGCTCTAGAAATACGGCAAGCGAAGAGCCATATGGTTGGGGTAAGCATTGCTGAGGGCTTAACTCGGGTGTGTTGTAGGTTGACGCCACACACTTCATGGTAATTTCCCCCGCCCCCTCAAAATACAAAAGTCTATTTTCATACTTTTTTCATTGTGTACAGTATGGAACCTATGCACATGCCAAATTTCAAGTGTGTAGCATGTTGGGAAGTATGCTAAACATTTAGAACTGACACACGTATCCACACATTTCCATTTTTTATATATATAAATCGGCATTTTACGACCCCCACTGCTACAGAAATTTGCGCAGTTGCTTATACAGTACACGACTTCCCTGAAGGCAAACACCTTCAGCGAGCGCGATGCCGATCACGCTTTGAATAAAAATCATAGGACAAGTTTTTACTTAGTAACAACTCCTTACTAACAACTCCTTACTTACTAACAACTCCTATCATTTTTCATTGCTGAAGGGGTTTCCCCCCCCTACCTGAAAATCCTGGCTCCGCCTCTGAGTGTGTGACAGTGTCAAGTTAAGTTTGTATTTGCAGTAAAGTCTATTAACTCTATTGAGCACAGAGGTTATATCAAAACGGTAGTTTATTTTAGTTTTCCTCTGGAACTCTTTGTAAGAATGGAGTCGGGATGTTATCACAGCACACGTGCAGCTGAAGTCGGAACTGTTCATACCAGCATTCAAGGACATCTGTGCCTGGCTTCACACCTCTAAGTTGCGATTGAACATGAATTTATGCATTTCTGCATAACACAAATAGTATTATGTTCAACACCCTTTGCTATGTCAGCTGAATTTAGCTTTCATAAATATTCCTTTTGAAGCCAAACAGCCGAAATTGTGTGCTCGGAGTTTTTGGGTTAACATTCATTTTGAAGATACTAGGGCTTCCAGGCATGTTTGTGACCATTTGCCCTCTCATTGTATGTCATAACAGCCCGTGTGATGAATGTGGGATACTTTTTCACTATATCATGAATATATCAATAAGTATAGACATGTAAGTCACGTGTGACTGTGGAAATATGCATTCCTCTGTGCCTCGATACTGTTGCTTCCTCTGCAGAATTGGTCTGATGGAGCAAAGGCACACGGCACGGCTCGGTACGACAATGCAACAATGCGACCGGTGTGCATACAGCACGGATCGTACTGGAAATTTGACCTTGCACCAGAGAACTCACACAGGAGAGAAACCCTTCAAGTGCAGCGTGTGTGGGAAGGCGTTTTCACAGTCATCTGCTCTTGTAACACACCAGAGAACACACGTGGGAGAAAAACCCTTCAAGTGCAGTGTGTGTGGGAATGCGTTTGCACGGTCATATACTCCTGTAGCACACCAGAGAACACACACGGGAGAGAAACCCTTCAAGTGCAGTGCGTGTGGGAAGGCGTTTACACAGTCATCTTCTCTTGTAGCACACCAGAGAACACACACAGGAGAGAAACCCTTCAAGTGCAGTGTGTGTGGGAAGGCGTATGCACAGTCATCTAATCTTGTAAAACACCAGAGAACACACGCGGGAGAGAAACCCTTCAAGTGCAGTGTGTGTGGGAAGGCATTTGCACAGTCATCTGCTCTTGTAATACACCAGAGAACACACACGGGAGAGAAACCCTTCAAGTGCAGTGTGTGTGCGAAGGCGTTTGCACTTTCATCAACTCTTGTAGTACACCAGAGAACACACACGGGAGAGAAACGCTGCAGGTGCAATGTGTGTGGGAAGGCATTTTCACATCCATCTGCTCTTAAAAAACACCAGAGAACACACACAGCAGATAACCCCTTCAAGTGCACTCTGTGCGGGAAGGCGTTTTCAGATTCATATAATCTTGTAACACACCAGAGAACCCACACGGGAGAGAAAGCCTTCAAGTGCAGTGTTTGTGGGAAAGCGTTTGCGCATTCATCTACTCTAGTAGCACACCAGAGAACACACACGGGAGAGAAACCCTTTAAGTGCAGTGTGTGTGGGAAGGCGTTTGCACAGTCATCTCCTCTTGTAGCACACCAGAGAACACACACGGGAGAGAAACCCTTCAAGTGCAGTGTGTGTGGGAAGGCGTTTGCACAGTTATCTACTCTTGTAGCACACCAGAGAACACACACGGGAGAGAACCCATTCAGGTGCACTCCGTGTGGGATTGCGTTTTCACAGTCACCACATCTTCAAAGACACCAGAGAACACATAAGCACCAGAAGATCCACAAGGAGTGGAGTCTGAAATCAGCTTGTGAAAGTCAACGTGCCACAATGAGCCCATCCCTCACGAAACAAGAACCGGAAGAAAATCCCAGCTTGGACACTTTTAAAGGTATTGAGGTGAAATATGAAGAGGTGAAGGTGAAATGTGAAGAAGTAATGGTGAAGAGCGAAGAAGTGAAGGTGAAATGTGATGACGATTCAACTCCAAAATCGGACCTTCACATCGATGGTGGCAACGTGAAGCAGGAGGAGAATTCTGAGGCAGAGCGAGGCAGCTCCCAGCAGTTTGTGGAAGTGGAGGTGTGGGTGGACTTCCTCCAAGACAATACAAAGTCAAATGGAGACCCGGTAGATGTGTAGCCTGAGACGATGTCGCTCCAATAGATGCACCTTTGTCACAGGCCTTTAATGAAAAGAATGTGAACTTGAACACTCAACCTAGGTGCAACCTGCAGAGTAAGAGCGGCCAGTCTTTGTGGACCTGTGGGTTGGGTAGATCTCTAACCAGGAGCGAGAGCCAATAAGCTCCCAAGCATTCACTATGTTATCAATTGCATTTCCATGGTGCTTGCTTAATCACCTGGGAAATTCGGAGTTTTGCATCGTATCTCATCTGAAACACTCGAAGAGCATCCCCAAGTAGCAGCTCCCCTTGTGTGGCACAAGGTGGTGGCCCTGCACAGGCCTGCATGTGGACAAGAGCCTGTCAGTAGGGGGCGATGGTTGATGTGGCATCTCAGTTGTGTAGTTTGTAGGTACTGTAATGCTTAGAATTTGCAAAATTTTTACCCAGACGCCAGCATGCAATGGCCTACTCGTTTTGAATGGCGCAATAGTATGTTGTACACACTGTTAAGCAGATGGTGGTATTTTTTACACGCTTTTATAAACTCACTCTGTTGTCGTATCCTCAGATCTTGTAACTCAATTTTTACCCACTTCCCAATGTTTTATCGACTGCAAACTTGGTATATGTATGTATGTCATACTGACGACAATACTATATAATATTTTTTTATGTTACGTTTCGGATTGGGTCTAATTACACGCTTTTTGTCCATGCTCAACTCACATTGGCTGTAAATCACCACGGTCCCTTACGTTATGGCAAGCTTCGGGGCCACTTCCTGGAGTCGTGGAGTTTTGCCATTACTCGTACGGTACATTTCATTAAAGCGTATTTTACAATGTTACTTATTGTGTTGTTAATGGCGTGGCGGAGACACGCGGCCCGCGGGGCGGAGCCAAGCGTGGCTCTCCGAGGGGCGGGGCTTGTGGATGGAGGGGAGGGGCGATTGGGGGAGGGAGCACGGGGGGAGGTGCAGCTCGGAGTTGGCTGGGGGGAGGTGCGGGGAGACGCAGGGAGGGAGTCATGGGATGACAGCTCTGCTGTGCTGGGTGGTGCTGTGTTGGCTGCTATACTGGGTAGTGCTGTGTTGGGTGTTGTGCTGGGTGGTGCTATGTTAAGTGCTGTGCTGGGTGGTGCTGTGTTAAGTGCTGTGCTGGGTGGTGCTGTGTTGAGTGTTGTACTGGGTGGTGCTGTGTTGAGTGTACTGGGTGGTGCTGTGTTGGGTGTTGTGCTGGGTGGTGTTGTGTTGGGTGTTGTGCTGGGTGGTGTTGTGTTAAGTGTTGTACTGGGTGGTGCTGTGTTGAGTGCTGCACTGGGTGCTGCTGTGTTATGTGCTGCACTGGGTGGTGCTGTGTTAAGTGTTGTGCTGGGTGGTGCTGTGTTGGGTGTTGTACTGGGTGGTGTTGTGTTAAGTGTTGTACTGGGTGGTGCTGTTCTGGGTGGTGCTGTGTTAAGTGCTGTGTTGGGTGGTGTTGTGTTAAGTGTTGTACTGGGTGGTACTGTGTTGAGTGCTGCACTGGGTGGTGCTGTGTTATGTGCTGCGCTGGGTGGTGCTGTGTTGGGTGCTGTGCTGGGTGGTGCTGTGTTGGGTGTTGCTGTGTGCTGTACTGGGTGATGCTAGTTGACTTCCTGAAAAGTGCTGTTACCTATTGTATCTAACCCCTAAAGGCCTAAAAAGATGTCTTTGATGACGAATATTGAATGATGACGAGGATGGTGCTTCTGTTTTCTTTAGTTTTGACGACAGTCGTGGTGGTGTTGATGGTGGTGATGCCGTGCCGGCCTTCATAGGTACTACTCGCTAACAGCACTTGCTCCTACAGTCTGTTAAGGCTATAGTGGAGATTTTTGTCTTTGATGGTGATGATGGCGGTGGTGGTGTTGTTGGTTAGCGCGCTGTGCTTCGAACCCGGCGACCCGAGTTCGATTCCTGCTCACGGCCAACAACAATGACGATTATCTGAATCGGTCCTGGCCTTCCCCTAGGTCGACTCGGCCTCAAATGTGTACCTGGTGCTGTGTGTAAGCATCGCTACTGGGGAGATAAAGGTCGTGGTGCTGGCTACCCACACCCTCGTGTGCATATTCAGCTTTCATAGATGCTCGCTCACCGCACTTACTCCAAAATTCTGCAAAGGCTATACGGCTTATCTTTGTGAAGTACTCTTGAAGACGCTTGGACACCGTAGTAAGGCACACGTATTTATTTACACAATGTCGTACAGCACTGGAGGGGTGTATCGGCCCCCTCACCCGTATAACTGGGAATACACCTCTAGCTAGCCTTCCTACCCGAGTCCTCCACTAACGGGCTAGGGGAGGCTGTCTGGCCCGACACTGGTCAGTCGGGCTACGGTACCCGGAGTCCCAGAGGACTAACTCTGGTTCCGGGACCACGCCACTGGCTCCAGCCTGCGCTGCCCTTACAAGGGCGGCGTCCCAGGGGGAGTCCAGGGCCTATCTGGCCGGTCTTCCGTCTTCCCTTAATTACTCCAAGACTGAACCCCGAGCTCTCTGGCTCATCCCTTTTTATACCCCCCTAGAGGATCGAAACCCCCCTCACGCCGTCCGGTGCGGACGTCGTTGCGGGCACCACCCCGTGTACTCACGGAGTCCCCGCCCACTGTGTTTGTTATCCGTTAGCTCCTATGCAAACAGCCCTACACAAACAGCCCCTCTGTAACAGCCCTACATCACCCCCCCCTGTACAGCTCGCAGCCGTCCCGGCTGCAACAACTTCAATAAAGGTTAATTAACCCCTGGATCCCCGCGTGTGCCTCAAAAAAACGTTTTTAACGATAACATGAAGGGAACAACAACAACAACAACAACAACCCACAAACCCCGAAGGGAACAATCCGACGCACCCCCCCTGAATAAATACGAATTCCGTAAGAGCGACGTATATACAGGTTTAGCAGGGAACCCCTAGCACACATGCAACACAACAAAAATGTGGCAGGAGCTCCCCACCGACGCAGCACCCCGCAACCGTACACAAGAGAATTAAGTGTTCTTCCAATGCATCATAAGAGTCTGCGCATTTTTGCGCGCGTCCTTGCTGCAGGCCCGTCACACGGGGCAACCCCGGATGGCGGACCGGCCGGTGGCAGTTGTTCATTCCGTATTGAGTCCGCGTTTGACGTCGCGAGACCCTCGGCATCCCTCGCAGCGGTAGGTGGGTGCGAGCCCGTCAATCCCGGTGCACCTGTGGGCGGGACAGCCGGCGACACGTCAGGCGAGGGCAGCAAGGACGGACCCTTTGAGTCGGCCGACCCCCCACATGTTTGGCCACGCGTGTGTGGAGTGGGGCCTCGCACCGCAACGAATGGTTTTAGTCTCGAGGGGTGCACAAACCACCGGCGCTTCCCCCATTTGATGCGAACACACTGAGGCTGCAGAACCTCGACCACCTCTACAGGACCCCTCCACGGCCGCGCCAGTTTAGGGGATGTTGCGAGTGGTACCTGGGGGCAGTGCAGCCATGCCCTGTCCCCCGGCTTCCACTGCAGCACGTGCGCGCGACCCAGTCTGAGGCGCTCATTTGCTTTTTGACGCTGTTCTGAATTTAGCATGGCAGCATCCCGTGCCTCAGTCAATTTTTCAAGGTTGAATTTGACATGGTCAATCAATTTTGTTTTATCCAGTGGTGTGGGGATCTGCAGCTGCGCCCGAATGGGTGGGTCAGGGTAGCGCCCATACATGAGGAAGAATGGTGAAAATCCCGTTGCAGCATGGGGGGCCAATCTGTATGCTGCCAAGACCCCTTGGATTTTCAAGTCCCAATCAGTCTGTGAGTCCGAAACCTGCTGTGATAACATAGACGAGATGGTGCGATGCAGACGCTCGACCATCCCGTCAGTTTGCGGGTGATAGGGGGAAGTACGAATCTTTTTCGTTCCTAGGAGCTCACAAACCTGTTGGAGGAGTTTTCCGGAAAAATTTCTACCCTGGTCGGTCAGCAGCCGCTCCGGGGCACCTTTGTCCATGACATAGCCTTGGACAAAGGCGTCGACGATGGCTGCTGCCGACTGATTGGCCAGGGGCCAGGCCATAGGCCAGCGCGTAAAGTACTCGACCCCGGTTAACAAATATCTATTACCCCTAGGGGTGGCGGGGAATGGGCCCAGAATATCCAGCGCGACAAGTTCGTTTACTCTGGAGACCCTGATAGACTGCAAGGGCGGGTTTGATTCTCGTGCTGGTGGTTTTCGCTGTGCACACCGCGGGCATGAAGCCAACAGATCTGAGACATCCCTTGTCATGCCTTGCCAAAAGAAATCACGCTGGAGCAAGGCGAGGGTCTTTTGGGTACCCAGGTGGAGGAGGCGCTCATGAGCAGCCCACACCACCCTACCCCGTAAGCCCGAAGGGACCACCAGCCGGTGTCGGTGGGATTTTCCGTCCCAGTGCAACAGCAACCCCGCGTGCATTTCCCATGCGTCGGCATCACCCGATCCCCGCCCTGCCTCCCCGGCGCGACGACGCAACGCGAGGAGGGAGGTATCCTCCATCTGGAGGCGCCCCCATTCCTGAATGTGCAAACCCAGCAGGGAATCTTTCCCTTGTTGTTCAATAGAATTCGGAACAACTGTCCCGCCGTCGGCGGCGGCCGCAAGGCCCGGAACCGACACGTCCCCTGCTGGCTTGCAACGTCCCGACACCAGGAGGCACGCACATTCCGAGGTGGTTGGCATGCGCGACAGAGCGTCCGCGTTGGTGTGGCGAACGCCCTTACGGTATGTGGTGTCGAAATCAAAATCCTGGAGGATCTCCAACCATCGGGACAATTGTCCCGATGGCTGTTGAACTCGCAGGGCGTACTGCAGTGCCGCATGATCTGTGCGGACGGTGAAACGCCGACCGTACAGATATGGGCGATACTGTTGGATGAAATAGACAATTGCCAACAGTTCTCTGCGGGTGACACAATATCTTTGCTCTGCTTGAGACAACACCCGACTGCCGTACGCAACCACCCGTTCGACGCCGTCAACCACCTGGGAAAGCACGCCCCCAATACCCGTGTTGCTCGCATCGGTGTCGAGCAGAAACGGCTTTGAAAAATCGGGGTAGATCAAGGGAGGAGCTTTTACCAGGGCGTCCCGAAGGGAGCAAAAAGCAGCCTCCTCCTCTTGACCCCAGTGGAACCGAACCCCTTTTGATGTTAATGCGTGTAGGGGTTTGGCAATTGTTGCAAAGTCGGCGACGAACCGTCTGTAATATGACGCGAAGCCGACGAAACTCCTGACCTCTCCCACCGAGGTGGGAGTCGGCCAGGAGCTGACACACTGCGTTTTGGCGGGATCGGTAGCAATACCCGAGCGCCCTACGATGTGGCCCAAATAACGCACGGAATCGCGTAACAAATGACACTTTTGGGGCTTGAACTTCAAATTAGCAGCCCGCATCTTTAGGAAAACCGCCCGCAACCTCTGGAGATGTTCGTCAAAAGTTTTAGCGAAGACAATAACATCATCCAAATAAATCAGGCACGACTCCCATTGCAATCCAGCCAAAACCAATTCCATCAAACGTTGGAAGGTTGCCGGCGCTGAGTGTAAGCCCATCGGCAACCGGTTGAATTGGAACAGGCCGTGCGGTGTACGGAAAGCAGTTTTAGGTTTCGATTCATCATCCAGAGGAAGCTGCCAGAATCCCGAAAGTAAATCCAGCGTGGAGAAGAATCGCGCTCCCGCCAAGGCGTCCAGCGATTCGTCCATCCGTGGGAGCGGGTATGCGTCGGCAACCGAAATTTTGTTAAGGCGCCGAAAATCAACGCAAAACCGCAACGAGCCGTCCTGCTTTTTAACCAGGACGATCGGCGCTCCCCAAGGGCTGGTAGAGGGAGAAATAATGTCGGCGGCTAACATGTCATCAACAGCCAATTTGACAT